TTAGAAAAACAAATTTTATTGGATAAAACTTACCATAATAGCATAAATCCTTTTAGAAAAGAGAGAAAAAGAAAAATGTAACAATTTTACCAGTGCCAAGTACAGTTTACACAGAATTTAAAATAAAACTTGTCAGTTGGTCAAAGAGGGGAAACTTTTGAAAAACTATATCAATAGTAAAACTTAATAAAACATTTCATTTGCCAATTTCTACTGTTCAGATTATTCAATAAAAAAAATGAAATAGGACTTTGATATGTCTTTTTTTATGAGGTTTTAAAGGGGCACTAGCTACGAGATATAGAAAAATTATGAAATATGATTTTTTTTTGTTCAATCATTAATGAAAGTGGAATAGTGAAATGATAATTTGCTTTTAGCAGCCAGAATTGTCTAATTTTGTCAAAATAAGCAAATAAATATTGATGATGCATTATTCACTTGCAAGTGAATAATTCGACCTCATTGAATCCGTATTCATGTGAACTTCAATTTAACCCCTTTGATAGAGTTGGATAACGCATGAATTGTGTGCATGTTTGGTTATTTAAAGGAAAAGAATGTCAACATTGAAAGTAAACAAAGGAAATTCATTTAATTGACTGATTCGATCCTCAAAAAAATTATTCTTATACAGGTGAAAATGATGATTAAAATATATTTTTAATCTATAAATGAAATTAAATAGACCTAGAAGAATCCAATTGCACGATTTGAGCTATCTATTTATATCTTTATTTATGCTTATATCCCTTATATGGGCATCAGTGGTTTTCGGGAGGTCAACTCCACAGTTAATTAGATGGCGTCTAGACTAAAATACACACAAAACGAAGCTACATATTATCGGCCCCATGCCCTGTAAATTGTTTATTTTAGATTTTTTATAATTTGGATAAATGTTTTACATTGTTATATAACAAATATGAGAATTTGAGTCAATTCGGTGAACATGAATTTGACAGCTAGTGCCCCTTTAAGAAATAAGGCTTCAACAAAAATTGTCTTTGTAGAAAATACCCTAAAATACCTTGATGGAGTTAGAAAGCCTAAACTAAAATTTATACTTCTTGTGGCAAACATGTTTTAAATAATAATTGGACTCTCTAAGCAGACAATTTATTTGGTTTGGCCTATTAAGACTTTATGGCAATGACATCTCCTTATTTTTATATTGATGGCTTAATGGACATTCATAGAAACTCCATAATACAATGGACAGTTTGTCTCTAATTAGAAATTTATGATCAGTAAATGGTCAATTTGTAGTTATTGATAGGCTATTGTCTGAGATGGTGAAATTAACACTGCAACTGTGTTGTATATGATGGAAGAAATAGATTATGGCTACTCTCTCAATGATAACCAAAGATATGGTATACTGTTATTGAAATACCTATCAAATATATGTGAGAGGTTTTGATAGACTGGTTTGTGAGTCTGTTGATATGGGTTTAAAGAGGAGTGGGGTCAATGAGACAACAATTCAACATTAAAAAGTTCACCAATGATAGACATTTAGAGGTCACCATGTGGTCATCAATGTTGGTCAAGCATTCAAACTGTATATCAAATAGTCTTAATTCTGGACAAGTTTTTAAGAGAGGCATTATTTAGGCCTTATCAGAAAACATTACCAAAATGAGATAGTTGTGAGGATTACAGTCCCAAAAAATGGTAGTGGAAGATACTTTTATAAGAACATGTCTCAAAATATAAATGCTATTTTTAATTTAAAAAGGTAGAATATGTTGATTTGCAATTGAAAGTTTCATTGCATATAAGTCCCATGTTCAAAAGATGGTGTCAAAAGAATTTTGAAAAAAAATGGATATGCATTTTATCTTCCTGAAAAGGCCAATTATCATTTCTTCCAAATGCATTGGCTAATGAAACAACATATGGATGATGATTGCATAATTTTCAGTTTTTAAATATGTATTATCTCTCTTAATTTTTTCTCTTGTTGTCCTCTTTAGACAGGATATACTGTTCATTATTGACAGGTAGATAACTAACATCAATCATATTATTGATGTCTGTTTCCCATTTTCTATAAATAAAAATCTTTTGTTAATTACTAACAGTTGTGAGGAAATGAATTAGTCTGTGATTGTAATTAAAGGTTAATTAACTGGAAAATGATTGTTTTGTTTAGGAACAAGTGGGAGAAACAGACATTCTTGTCAATGATATCACAATGATATTGGATAATGGGGATTTTCATTGATTCCAGTTCGTTTCCCGGTTAAAAGATAAAAAGATTCCCACTTTCTTCTGCATACGTGACTACAAAATGAATGGATTTATTTTTCAAATTCAGCATTTTGAAGTCTGCCACAGCTAGGAAACATTACTCTGTTTTATAGATAAATGAGTAATACAATATTTTATTGTAGAGCAGTTCTTTATATTACATAACAGAAACAATTGTTGGTAGAATAGCAATTTTGTATATAAATTAACATAAGGCATATTATCTTGAATTAAAGAAGGAAGAAAGTTTATATAATTTCAAGCTACATCCATAAATTGGTACATGGTTTTATTGAAAAAAAGCCATATCTTTGTTAAATTAACAAGTTTTATTTTTCATAACACTAATTAATGAGTCATAGACCCGATAGAAATTCAAGAATATGTTTTCACGCAACCATCTCATTAACTAAGATTGGCTTAAACAATGAAAATCTACCTTTGGCTATATTTTGACGCTGAATTAATAGATATTCTCCCAGGATCAAAGAAACTCTTCTATTAGGCTATTCACGTTCCTTTATAGTAGCATTTCACAAGTGTGTTGATACATTACTTATGACTTAGCTTGGAGGGAAGGTGATAAATTTAATGCTTTTCCTTAGAATAACTTGATTGGGAGAAAGATGAAACAACTTGATTCATAGCTGTCACCTTTATATATTTTCCTGTTCATATTTGAAAATACTTAGGATTTAGCTATTTGTCAGTTCTGCTATAGCTAGGGAAATCATAAGTTATGCATTGTCTTCCAGCTGTGAACAAATGTTCCGTCATTAGATATGGATTCTGACTTTTTTCTAATAAGTTAATTAGTCAGTATTTCAATTTGTTAATCAACCATCCAACTTGTGAAAAAATCGTTGAATTTGCAATTTCAGAATCGAAAGGATTGTTGGTTATTTCATTGTTCATACACCAAAATGGAAATGCTGTTAGGCCATTGGTTAGATATCCATTGTTTAGTATGATGTTAGCTAACCATAATGGTTTGATGTACGCCTTTCAAAATATTTCCCTGAACACGTTAGATTTTGAAATGGTGAATACCTTGAACAATAATTATCTTTGTACAGTATTTCTTAAAAACCAGAAATTGCAGGGTTTGATGACGTTTTTTTACACACCAGCTTTGGTCTGAAAGGTGGAGATTGGGATGATGAGAGAGCCAGGAAATGTATGAAAATCTTATCATAAAGTTTTCATAACCAATCAAGAAACACTCTATTTAGTTTTTTTAGAGTAATATTGCGCATGTTATCATCTCGATAGCTTACATCTTTGATATTGGACAATGGGCTTTTCATTGGGTTCAAAGGTCATATAGTCTCTTATCTGGAATTTGCACAATTTTTTATGATGGATTGCACTGCACAATTTTTGTACCTTTAAATTCTTAAGCCAATACATAGACTATATAATTTGGTGCATTGAAACAATATAAAACATTCAATGAATATGGCTAGCAACTTATGTTTTCAATGGAAGAAGACTCAACGTTTTATTTAGAATCCATAGAATTCTGCAAACAAAAGCATATACTCAAGTACTCAGCATGAAGGATTAAACTCATCATTGACAAATGAATAGTTAATAGGTCAAAAAGGACTTACTGGATTCCTTCCTTTGAAGTCCATAAAGAAGATATGACAATAGATAATTATCGCCTAATATTATGGAGCTAATAAAAACATCTTATTTGTCGATTTTATCCATCTTTTATTTTCAATTAGCAAATAACTCTTTGGGTTTTGGCAGCAAATTAAATCAATATAAAACCAATTACATTACACCATCCATTTTATTGTTGGTTTTGCATCTAATTTGCTATTGTGTAATTAATAATTATTTTAAGAATAAAGATATTTAGGTTTTCCATTACAGTTTTTTATTCACCCTTTTGAATTCTCCTATTGTAATTAGATAATTGGATATTGTCACAAGTTTGTAATGATTTTTTGTCATGCATAGTAAAATGGACAAAACAAATTCTATATACTTTTTACTTGTTTATCTTGAATAATAGGATTAAAATGATTTGCTAAGTTTTCTGAAAGGTAATGACTGACTTTGTTTTTTCAATTTATTAATTTTCAATGACTATGTTATAATGCCTTTTTTTAAAGGACATTGATACAAGGTTTATTTACTTTGTTATCTATAATTGATTTGAGCTTGACATTAAGTTGCATTAATTAGAATTTTATATAAATTTTGGCAAAATTGTATTTATATTGTGATCGTATGATCAGTAAATTAGTGAAAAAATATTCCTGCACAAAAATGTCACATAATATTTAAAATGTAAATAAGGTAAAGATTCATTAAATGAAATAGTATTCATGAAAAACATGGAAAATCAATTTTGAATAAATCATAATGTGGTTATAAAATTCTATCCTTTTTTAAGGCAATAGTTACTTAGCTTCAAAAAGCCGAGGCCAATGTGACAAATTATCGATAAAGTAAGTTTTATCCATGATCGAAGTCGCATTATCCAACCAATTTAATTGGCTAACGGGTAATTAAATTAAAACAGCATGGTCTCATTAAATAGAAGGTAATAAAAATATATGATGGAAGAACAAAGCTTTAGTTTGATTTGAGGATTTGAAAGAATCAATAATTTGACCCTGTTATCACTTGGACACGCCTGATGGGATATTTTTCTCCTGTATGGTCAATCATTTGTGATAATAATTAGTAGTATAATTCCCTTCTGTAGACATATCCCATTGTTGACCATCTAAGAGTAATACTGTGAAGAATTTTGATTGGAAAAAGAGATTGAACACAAACGACCTGTCCACTTTATTGTTAAGAAGACAGCGTGACAGAGGATTTCATTTTAGCTTGAGGGATAAAAACATTTCAGGATTAAAAGTACCTGATGCGTACAGTACAGTGATTCATCATGCGGATCAAATACAGGGAATAAACCTAACTCAAAGTTGATAAAAATCTTATATGAATTAAATGACAGTGAAACGGTCCACGAATCTTTTCACCTTTTAAACGGAAACTATCCATATAGAATGTTGAAAAGGACAGCGATTAATACCTCACTGAATCAAAACTAGAGATTATAATTTTGTGTTTGTACAAACCACTGGATATCTTAAACATACACTTTAAACATTTCTCCATTTTATTTTGGACATTTGATTTCATACATGAGGACAACAAATTCATGACATTTATGGAAGTCGGAGATGGAAGTTAGAGTTTTAAGAATTTTGAACGAAGCCAATCAAGCCAATCGATTTCACCCGTACTCACAGGTATGTTTTTTACACATCCTTGGAAGATGATTTCAGTAACACATAAAGGGCCATGTGAGTTTGAATATGAAAAAAGGGGGATGGCAATCATTGATAAGATATACATTTTGAAACAAATGTGGAAATGGCAAAAATATTGAAAAGAAACTTAAGATGGTGTGAACAGCATTATTGATGATGTTTGCAACTTCACACCTTTAAGTATCATTTATTTTAAATCTAAAAAGACAAATAAAAGTAAAAAGAAAAATTCTGTTTAAGTGTTAAGTATACCGTAAAAAGGCAATCAGATGATTAATGAGGGTTCTAAAATTGATGTCTATCACAAAATTTATCTTTGTATTTGTTTACATTTCACTAAAGTTCACATTTAAATGTTACTGTTAAACTTTGGGTTGACAAGTTTTTTAAAGGTGAGTTTTCTAACAGAACATTTACCATTCATTATTTCACTCTTCTTCTGATCCGAGTCCTACTTTGAACAAACGCTAGGTCAAAAGATTAGAATATACCAATTATCCTAATTAATTCACATTAACATTTAATCAGATCAAATTAAGATTGATCCTCAGAGTTTAGATAAAGCGAGATGGACCTCTTTTTTGAATATCTGATCAAATAAAATTTTAGAATATTTTAGGTTGAAAGAAGATATTGAACTTTCTTCCAAGTATCTTGATTATATTTTTGTTTTAAATGATTATAGCATTTAACATTGAACGATTAAGAATTGAGAAAATATCTTCAAAATTATTTAGATTTACTCCGAGATTGTCAATACATGATAACACAAAAATTGCCCCACCTAGATGTATGCTTGTTACCCGAGGGACCAAGAGACCTTTTCTTTCAATAACACATACAAGAAAAGTATCCTTTTGTTGTTTTAACCTGAGGGGATTTTGTCAGACTAAGTATAAAAAGAATTATTTAATACATGATACTAATTTCACCTTAGGTGGTGTCTATGAAAAAAATATTATAATTGATTTGCACAAAAATGCATTTAGTCTATCTTATTGGATTGTAAACAATCTAATTGTATTGCAATTTCTAGAAATAATATAATATCCCTTTGAAGTACAATTTGGGATAACTTAGGATGAAAAGGGCAAAAGTAATGATAGATATTTCAATTCAAATTTTAAAAGGGTTTTCTAGACACGAATTGACTAATTCAATCTCATGTAAAACAGAAAGTATATCAAATCACTAGCATTGCTTATATATACTTTATATATATACACCAAACTTTACTGTGCATATAAGATCATATACATGCTTAAATTAACATGTTAATTTTGTACTCATGAAAAGCACTTTACATTTACTTAATTATTAACCAAAAACAACCATATTTACATAAAATTTGTATTAAAGCTTTGGCTTTTGATCAAACCAATATTGCATACATTAAAGTATACAATATGACTATTTCTTGACAGATTCCATCAAAACTTGGCATGAATATACCTGCAGTACAGAAACTACCTTTAGATACCCAGGTAATTAATGTAGAATTTGTGGTAGAAAAGGACAGAAGGTTTCATGGACCTTACTTTATTGCCTACAGCTGATGCTATACAGTATTACAATACCTTTCCTGGAAAGTCAGTCAGACTAGAACATATCAGAATCAAATTAATGATTGATTCCCCTGATATTTTTCTAAATTTTATGATTTTCAAATCAATAACATCAATTACGAGTATACATAACAATGTAGGAAAGTTCTGGTAAAAAGTCTGGGAACACTTTGAAATTTAATTTAAATTCCTTAATTTGTGATTCTTCATTTGAAAATATGTTTGACTTGATTTGTAGCTGAAGCATATTCAGTCCCTTGAATTCGCTATGCATGGTCGACCATACAATAAATGGCATTGCCTCTTTAATTAGCTTCTTTTAACTTTTCCTGGGAAGAACAATTTATGGTGCACTGCACAGTCAGATCATATTATGATGTAAATTTCTTGAAACGTAAATTTCTGTTGAATTGTCAAGAGTGGAAAGCACTCCAATTATGTTGTAGTAATAATCCATTTGAAGATAATTTCCACTAGAAATGTTTTATCTGTTGGTGTTCCCTAGGGACTTAAAGTCAAGTAAACTGATAAGTCAACTAGAAAAGCCATATTTAGTTGTTGTAACAGATAAATGATTCCACATTAGCCATTTTATATACAGAAAATAGATACCAGGCTGAAGTATGAAGAAAAATACTACCACTTAATTGTTTTAATTCATTAAGACACACCTGAAAAAAAAAGATGAAAATAGATGAAATTCGTTGTGGAGTTTATGAAATATAAATGTGAAGACATGGGTCAGAAAAGAAAATGGGTAAAATTCTTCTCTCTTGAGGATATCTTAAATGCTGATTAACACGAATATTACAGTTTATTTTAAGCTTGAATTAATCAGCAACATATCTTTGATATTTTAAAGGTTAAGAGTATTTTCAAAAACCATGCACTATTTATAGACAAAAAATAAATGTAAAGGCATACAGTTTTAAGTTTCTCAATCTGAAATGTCTTACGGTCTTATGATCACTTTCTGTAAGAGTTGGAATATTCCTGTTATTTAAATAAATCATTATTATCTTGTGCTTGATAAATGTCCTTCTTTTTGAAAGCTTTATTATTCATGATTGTAAATGTTTATAAATGGAGGAATTTTCTCTTAAAATGTTCAAAATTAGTTTGATTATAAGACAACAAAAACCAAAAATGCTCTTAGTAAAATGGTTTGCAGTTTGGAGTGGTCATTGAAAATTTTTACTTTAGCTGTTCATGTTGATTTAGTAAACAAATCATTTTAATTGTGGCTTTGTACATAGAAGGTTCCATACTTGAGAATGAATTGGTAATTTAGCAAATATTAACACGTAGCATTTCATTTTTTCATACTTTTTGTTCAGAAAAAAGTGCATTTAAGAAATGGATAGTAGTTTCTTTTGATGAAAGTCTCCATGAGTAGTGAAATTTCATATAGAGTAGATGCTTTTTTAAAAAATCTTCTATGCAGTGGTAATCCAGCATATAGCCAGGGCATTCAAATATTCAACAGTTTCTGCTGTTTGAATACACTGCTGATACTTGATATGGCCTAAAACTGTATTTTGTATCACTGTAAAAATGAAACCTTTTTGTTTGTTTGATTATATTTCACAGTTTAGTATAATATAATAAGTGATACATGCCACTCCAGCCCATAGGGCCATCTATAGACTTTTAGTTATCTCGAACAAAACTATATGGACTTCAGCTTCGATTCAGTCGTTATACTTTTTTGTGAGATGACCGCCTGTCCATAAACTTCCATATAGCCCTAAGTGCCATGAACTACTTGTTAAATATGGAAGTGCAAGAGAACTTTTCATGTATGATGAAGCATTGACTGTCACAGTGTTAATGTCACTACAATCGTATGGTATAAACCATGTCATCTAGTGACAGCCTTATTTGTCACAACTTTTGGTAGGAAAGACATTGGATCCCACCCTAATTAATTAATGACATAGATTTACATGTTAACATGATCATTTACAATAAATATATGTATATGGAATTCTCTTTGGGATGCGTATTTTTAGGTTTTTTAAGAGAGGTCAACCAATAATATTTTACTTTAACCAAGGAGGTTGTAGACAACATCCTTGCTTTATCTTAATGCAAACCAGACTTTTATTATATTTCCACCTTGGAAACAGTTCAGGACTTGTTGTCCCTGGATACATGGATTCATGGTAGACATGGAATGTCACCTCAGAAAATCTTACAAACCCATGTGCACATTTAAATGAGAACCTTGTATTAAAGATACAATTTAAATTAGTTCTTTGTGATTTTCTATTGTTGCCTATAGATGGCAACTGATTATTTATATTTAGGGAAAAATATCCTGTCATATGGTATGGCATACTTAAGGGATCACATTACTTCCGTTGGCTGCTGAAAAGGTCATTATTAGGAGTCAAAATTTAGTAGGAAATTAGGTGACTGCTAAATTGAGTTAAAAGTATAGAGAAAACCTTTTGGCAGGATTCAAATTGACCATTTGATCAAGTTGACCACTGATTTGAATGGACCATGAGGACAGGTTTGACTGTAATACAGATGAAAATAAAGCTATATGTTCAGCCATGAAACACATATCCATCATACATTTGTTATTTTGTTACGTAATCTATACTTTACTTTTTGCACTATCATTATTCAGTGTATTTTGATACTGAAATTCAACTGTGCTGCTATAATGTTTAAAAAGTAATTATTACATGCGAACATATTATACCAGAGAACATTCTGTTTTGAAAGAACAAAAGTATCTTTTGTTGTTTAATGTGAAACCAACTGTTTGATCAATTAAAGAAGAAATAGTAATATTTTGTTGAAAACATGAAAGAAATTGGCTGTTTTTTATTCTACACTTGATAACATGACTTTTTATCAGGCTGGCATTTGTTTTATAAAGTTAGGACATATGCACTTGTCTACAATGAAAAGTTTCATAATGAACAAGGATGAGAAAGCGGAAAAAAACTGTTTCTGTATCATATTTTTCTTGTATTTATGATCTCAAAATCTGTTCATGTATACCTTTTAATTTTCCTTTTTGGCACAGATCTCAATGGTTTTTAATAACTATTTTTTTCTCTTCTGAAAATTTTCCTCTCTATACTATCTTTTGATTGTAAGTAGCTTCTGTCCAAGTTTGGTAAAAATCCAGGGTAGTTTATGAATCTAATAAATGTTTTGAAAACTTAACTGGAAGAAAAACTAAGTCCATTTATAAGTAAAATACGGAAAAAATGGAACAAAATTTTAACAAAATTTCCTTCTAGATACTAGCTTTTAATCATAAACAAGCTTCTGTCCAAGTTTGGTACAAATCCAAGATAGTTTAAGAAAGTTGTTAAAATTTTAAAAACTTTAACCACAGAGTGAATGTATTGTTTCCTGGCAGAAAAACTAAGTCCATTTATAAGTAAAATACGGAAAAAATAGAATTGTTTTTTTTGACAAAATTTACTTTTGGATATTATCTTATGATCATAAACAAGCTTCTTTCCAAGTTTGGTAGAAATCCAGGATAGTTTAAGAAAGTTATTAAAATTTCAAAAACTTTAACTACAGAGTGAATATTTGTGGACGCTGACGGAATGTAGGATCGCTATGTCTCGCTTTTTCGACAAAAGTCGAAGGCTTGACAAAAATGAGTTTTAAGAAGCTTTTTTTTACATCGCGATGACCTTGGGGTCATTCAGATGTATTGCTATCGCCTAGATTTCCATTATGTAAATTAGTTTTGGGTTTGTAACCGATCTATAAACATGATAAATATGCGCACATAAACGAATGCAAAATAACATTCCTTATCGTTTGATATAAATACATCTCTTCAATGAATACTGATAAAAATATTTTTGTTTACAACATAAATTAATAATATGAAAATGTTTTGTAGTTAGATATATATATATATAAGTAAAAAATCATTGATAATATCAATGCAGACGTACCGAAAAATTGTGTTAAAGCATGCGGAAGAATATCTCAGAGAACTTTTTGCAAGGACCGGTAACTCTGTAATTGTTTTTGCGGGAAAATATGGATGCCTACTCGTATCCAATCTTAGAAAAATCGAATTTTTACAGAAAAGTGTCCACCATGTATACTGATTTGTATCACTACAATATAATAGTTATTACGGTGAAGTTGAATTTCCTGTCATTTATTCATCATCCACGCACGAACTTGTCTCAGAAAAAAATATATCTCTGTACATTAACCTCAGTTTCAGGTAAAGAGATATGTTGTTTTTTTCTGAGACAAGTGCTTTTGACCATCCTCAAGAACTTGTGGTCATCCGATGTTCAGTACTTCAGTACTTTGATTTTTTATAAGTAGCATCTTTTATTTAAACTATTTCATCAGTTTCTAAAAGAAAAAAATATAGCTGGTGAATTAGATAATAATTTTTCATTTTGTAAATTATTAATGGGTTTAAGCTAAGCTTGATTTCCTGTAAAGTGTAAAAGCTAGTAGGGTTGAAGCAACAGATAAATATTGACAAGTCAAACATGGCTGCTGTTATTTAGAGAAGTAGATTTCATACTTTTGTGACTTTCTTTTAAATTTACATCACAATAATACAATGGACCATTAACTTAATGGATTTGTACAATCTTCAAATTACCATCATAAAAACTATAGAACCATGTCAAGTCACTTGGTTCTACAATGTTTTAAATTGTTTTTCAAATTTGAAAAATAATGTTTTCAGGAATGCAGATGAATAGATTATAATTTTAGTGATTTTTCCTTTAGAGTTTAGCATTTTTCTGCATCATTCATGTTGTCCCAGTGTAAAATTTTTTGGTAGTGTTGGGTCTAATGTGACAGTAATATAAAGTTTAATGGCAGTACATACATACTTTGCCTCTTAAATGTAGTAGCAAGGGAGATAACTGATAGAGAATGAAGACTTGAAATATTCT